TAACGTGAAAACTTTGCCACCTATGTTAAGTCTGTTACTGCTTTAGTAACAAAAACTGAAACTTGAATGTTCAAGACAAGTGTGATGGACCTAATTTATTTAACCATCGATTCTTCGATAAACTGTGTTTGTTAACAGAGTTTTAGTTCCTTTATTCAAAGTGGTCGACCTTACTGTAATTCTACACATAGTTAAACAAAGTGGTCGACCTTACTGTAATTCTACAGATAGTTAAACAAAGTGGTCGACCTTACTGTAATTCTACAGATAGTTAAACAAAGTGGTCGACCTTATTGTAATTCTACAGATAGTTAAACAAAGTGGTCGACCTTACTGTAATTCTACAGATATTTAAACAAAGTGGTCGACCTTACTGTAATTCTACAGATATTTAAAAAAAGTGGTCGACCTTACTGTAATTCTACAGTTAGTTAAACAAGTTTGCAGTGTAGATACTTAAATCTAACCTACAACAAAATTATGATCAGAATAACTAGAACAGAAATTAATTGTTTCGCAGTCATGTGGAAGTTTAGTATTTTTCTCAAGAATTAAAAATACCATTGCATTATATGTATAACTATTTGTCTTTATACGAATAACAGTAGTGTAGGAAGGACTTGCAAAGTGGGAGTGCTTCGCTAGACATGCAGATGTTACAATGAAAACTGCTAAATTTACAGTTGCTATATAAGTCAAATATGTAAAAGTAGGGGTGCTACAGCACACCCGGTTCCGACGCCTCCGAATAAAAGGGGTGAACCACGCACTAGAATTTTGTTTCTGGAAAACTACAAATTATATTAATTCAGGTAAAGCGTGTACGTAAAGTCAAAATGGCTCTTAAATCTGTTTGATATTGAATTTAAGTTAGATTTAATTTTTTACGTTTTTGCGTTTATCTTTGGCGGACACAGTACAAATACTCCTTTGCGTAGCTTTGCATTAAAACCGTGACAAACAAGATTTAACTTAATGTTTATACCTGAGTTTATCCATGATATTCCAAAGTACACAGGATCAACAGAAAAAGTTAGCAACAGTTAAGCAACCCAACAGCCCCGAACAAATTTGGAAGGTGAATCTTGCTTCATCAGGGGTAAATCATAAAGGGAATTTATAAATTTGCCAGTTACCCCTGATGAAAGAAAGTCCACTTCCCAAAGCACTCGGGTTGTAGTTTTTACCTATACTTCAGTTTACTATAGAATATATGAAAAACATGTTAACGCCTCGAATTCTAGATCTGTAACTGAAGTTTTATGATGATTTTAAATCACAACTACCTAAAACTTACTGACAGTTAAGGAAATTATAAGGAAAATTGCCTTGAAAATAGGACACCGATAATAGGCGTCATTTTAAACTCTAGAATGTAATTAGACGTGTATGCGTCAGAGTAATGGCTAACTTGATGTGTAAAGAGAACAGAAATTAAAATGATGCAATTTTAATGTTACTAAGCATTCAGAATTCTATTTGTTCTGATACATAATTAAAGGTGAATTTGCTTTAAGAAATTCTTACTGAACCAGAAAAAAATAACAAATAAATATTAGTCGAGTTGCCGCTTACAAGTACAAAAAGAAAATAGTGGTTATTCGATTTGAAATAACATTTGCTGTTTTATCTATTTAAAACAACAACAACAACAGAGTTAAGTAAATACATAAAGTATCTTATCCTTATAAAATGTCATTATATTTACTTATGTATTACACATTATTTTATATTTCCAGTGGCGTAGCTATGGGTGAGCCTGGGCTGGCCATAACCTACCCACTCAGCACTCAGGCACACCTAATCATAGTCGTCTGCATGATGGTTTCTGCGTCCGAATACGCCATGCGTATCGCTTTTCTTAGCTCCCTGTAACTTGCCTGCAAGAGTTTGTACTCATCCTACCCGTCCATCGTAAATTTGGGCCCACCCAAAGTTTTATACATGGCTACACCACTGCCATAAATTAATTCATGGTACAACTGAACACTATTAGTTAATTAACTGTTATTCAAAGTGTATTAATATTTCACGTTCATGTTTGTTTGTTTATTTGTAATTAAGCACAAATCTACACAATTGGCTATCTATGCTCTGCCCACCACGAGTATCGAAACCCGGTTTCTAGCGTTGTAAGTCCGCAGACATACTGCTGTGCCACTATATTAGTAATATTTCCACAGCTTAAGAAGACCACAGCGTATTCTATCGGATGACATACTATCGACTTAAAAAGGATCGCACTGTACTGTTAATTGGCCACAATGTGTTATGTGTTTAAACAAGTGTGTGTTGGCTATGTAGTGTAACCCTAAAACAGCTCATATAGCATAAACTAAACAAGCTAAAACTTACAGATCCGTGATGTTTTGCAGAAAACCAGAAGAGCACTGAACTATACTTTTAGCCTTGCACTAAGACTAACGAGCTAACTTCATGGTCTAGTCTAATCTTTCTGGTTTCCACCCTCTAGATGTAGGTTAGGATGCCAGAATACTATTAGACATTTTCATTTTGATTCTGTGTTCGGGTTGAAACCGTTCATGTGTGGATAGATGCGTGACAATAACACAATTGTGTTTAATACTAATAACAAATCTTGCTTTAGGTAAAGAACAGATTTATCCGTGTTAGACATAATATTTATTACACCGTTAGTATGCACACAATGTGAACTAAATAATTATTTACAATTACTCCGATCCTCATTCGAAAAACTTTCAGTTTTATCTTTTAGTCCACGCTTCTTTAAAGTTTGATTTATATTATCGATTGTCTGATTTGTAAATTATTGCGACTATTAGCAATCTTGAAGTTAATTCCTAAAGACGTCAGGAAATGGCATGTTTTTCATTCAACGTCTAATATTTCTATGTTGATATAGGCCTACCTAAGTAATGGAATGTGAGAATCTGACGTTGTTATAGGCCAGTGGTCGGCAACCTTTTTTGATCGCGGGTCAATTATTTTTTATTTTTTGAAAAATTTAGCATTGTGTTGGGTCATTGATAATC